CACCCATTTTCATTGTAAGCTGTAAAACATGTACTGGGCTCAGATTTCCACGACGCGGCGCATTTATGGCAAAGGCGAAGTGATAACCCAGCCGGCGTGCCGTCTGGCTGGCCACCCACAAGGCCCTTCAAAGCGACCGCCGGCTTCGGCGTAGATTCGCAAAATATTTCACAGCATGAAAAATGTGTCGCGAAAGATGTCAAAAATGCGCCAAACACTTAGGCAGAAGATATCCAGACACTCACTGAACGCCGACAATTGTGGGGAACACAGGCCCTCCTTCAGCTGCCGCGAACTGAACATATACACTCGGCAAAATGGCGACCAACATTGATTCCAGCTAAATCATATCACGAAGAACTCTTAAAGGTCGGTCTGGCAATCGTATGTTTTCTGTGAGGCCTAGGCTCAATTCCCAGATTACAAACATTCTATGTTTTAATCTCAACATGCCTTTATTGAACTATTTATTTGAACTAAATCATATCACAGAGAACTCTTAAAGGTCGTTCTGACAATCGAAGGCTTTCTGTGAGGTTGTGGCTCATTTCCCAGATTCCAAACATCCTTAAGTCGATGTTTCAATCTCGGAGTCTGGTTCTAAGACTTCGCCAACATGCCTTTATTGAAATCTTTACTTGAACTAAATCATCTCATAGAGAACTCTTAAAGCTTGTTCAGAAGTGACAATCGAAGGTTTTCTGTGAGGTTAAAAATATGCTCATTTTCCAGATTCCAAACATCACTAACACTATTTATTTCAACTAAATCATCTCACGGGGAACTTTAAAGCTTGTTTTTAAGTAACAATCGCCTTTATTTCATCTATCGTTTTTGGCCAATGATTGTGTTAGCGCCAACTTAGTAGTTTTTATTCCGCTAGTTAGTTCGATGAGTTAGCAAAGTCATTTAATTAGTAGTTTTCAGTATGTCGACACCTATGTCGACAGTCTATATTTGTAGACGTAAAACAATGAATAAATAGACTCACAATAGTAACTAAATATTAAACTCTTATTCGACTTGTTGGATATTAATAACATACGACTTAAACGTCTCTAAAGCCTGACCCCTTTTGACCTACATTTCCATCTGTACCGAGTGGCAATTACTTCTATTAACTATGTAATTTACACCTGAGAATGTTACAAATTATCGTCTTTAATTAGGCAGATCTTGATTGAATATCATTAAAAAAACGATTAGATACGTTATACATTAAAAATATCAATATGTTATAACTAACTTGGGTTGGTCGCGGAAAAGCAAATTTATAAATAGGCAGATCAATATTTATTCATTTTAACCACTAACCACTTAACCATTAGCCACTTAAAAGTGGAAGTCCAGAAACCATCACTGATTGTACTTCTCTAATGTGGAATAAGAAGCGGCTGATCCACAAACTTCTATGTTAGTTTAATTGATTTGGTTTATCAGTGCGTTTTAAGAATATACTTTTGATCCTACATTGTCTTAATTAACATTAAAGTATTCCCTGATCTTGTTAGCATTTATAATTTTTTTTTTAGTGTAGCCTGTTGCATTGAGATTTGTTCGCATTGAGATTTACGCGGTGCACATATCATAAATCACCAGCCATGTCGCATGGGGTCTAAACAGAGCAGCCAACCTTGGGGTCCAGATGTGGCTTCGTGGCCGCCCAGTTAGGGACAACTGTTTCAAAATATGTACAAAAGCCGACAATAGAGCGGAGTACCGCACTCAAATACTTGCCCACTGTACTTGCGCACAAAAGAAGTGGAATAAGCGCAAGATCGATAACCAACAACAACAGCAACAATAACAACAACAACAACAACACAAATAGTACCAACACCAATACCAACAACAGTAAAGAGGAGAGCAACAACTGCAAAGGCAGAGAGCATGGCCAGGCGCCACACAGACTTAATTAAGTCATCAAGCAGAAGGCAGGCTAATTGGAGATCTGTGCTGCGATCGCATTCAACATTCAACGCAGCAGCCGCAGCAGAGTCAGAGTCAGTGGAAGTGGCAGTGGCAAGGGCAGCGGCACTGGCAGGGGAGCCAGATCAGTGACCAAAAGACGCACCCGCAATCGTCTTGCGGCAGACACAAGAACCTCATAATGACGATGCTGCTGATGATGACGACGATCTTCATGATGTTGTTGGAGATGATGTTGCTGTCTCTGCAGCAGGCGACCATCGGCGGCCACGATGATTCAGTATGTCAGCGGACCACACACGCGCGCCTGCGCCTCACATGCTGGACCAGACAAACCCACCTAGGAGTTCCCTGTGTGTGACTCACACGCAGCTCGCAAAGTTCGCCAGGAAGGCAGCTCCTACACTTTCCAAAAAAAAGAGGTTTTAGTAAACAATAACCGCTATAGTAAGGTATACAAAAAAACCTTAATTTAGGCAAAGAGTCACATGATAATACTAAGTGGAGCAAGAAAAAAAATGCTTATAGCTAGTACGCTTAAAATGTTTAAAAGCTGGGTTTCGTTTAAAGAGCCAATTTGATACTGATCTAGAATATATGAAAAATAATAATCGGAAATAAGGAATATTCTGAATTCTCGAGTCTTATTGCTTTTAGGTTACCTTTTTTCTCCGAGTGTATATACTCTGCTCGCAGCTAGTGAGCGCAAAGCGCGCGTCAAAGTTGAAGTTTAAGCGCGGCTTGGCAAATCCGCCAACAATGGGAGCAGGAGTTGGACCAGGACCACCAAGAAAGTCCGAGCCTGCCAGTTGGCTTAGGGGTGGTCTCTGTGCTGAGGCCCGTTGTTGTCGCCGTTGTTGCTGCTGCCGCCACTGCTGCTGCTGGCGGCTGTAAATGAAGCCCAGTAATACACCTGATAGGTGCTTTTTGTGCGCCCCCTTTCTTGCTGCTTGCTGAAAAATTGATTTAGTTTCAGTGACTTTTTGCTGCCGCATTTGCATGCAAGATGTTGCAGGCAATAGCTTGTGTCTTATGCTGCATGTTGTCCCGAGCTTGTACATAGCTTTTTGTGTGTCCACTTTTTCTGCGCATTGCAATGTGTTCGTTTGTCACCAGGGCCAGGGCTCTCGTACATAGATGTCTCATCGCTGGCGATGTCATAAGGTTGGTCGCTGGCCTGCTGGCTGCTGACGGCTGCTTTGCTGCCATTGACATTTTTATTAGGTTCGGGCGAGGGGGCCACATACGTGTAAGATGGGGGCGGCTGTGGTGACAAGTTGCCCACAAACCAGAAAGCGGTCACTGAGCGACCACACACGCAACCACAGCTTGCAGCCATGCAATAAATATTTACCCTCAATTGTAATTACAAAACACCGATAGGCATCTTGGTCGGGCCCCCATTTTGTGCTTGCCTTACACTTGCCAGAGTCGGGGGCTGCATTCAAACAATTTGCATTTCTGTTTAAATGGCCAGTGAGCTTTGGGGAATTAAAGCGGCAGCTACAACAGCAGCGACTTCAACGCATTCCGCATATAATTAAGCGAGCCTTTAAATTTCAAGCATGCAAAATGTTCGCAGAGGGGTCGCGAACGGCGCAGTCAACTATGAGCGCACCGCCAACTGCACTGTCGACTGCAGCGGCCATTGCATCAGCTGCGCTGCAGCTGCGCTGCAGCAGCGACGCAGCAACAGCTGCGCTTGGGTGGTCTTGTTGTCAAAATGTGTGGTCTTTATTAATAACAACGAAAGACGGCGAAGTTCGCAAGTACAAGCAACAGAAACAGCAACAACAACAGCAACAACAACAACATACGGACTGTATGTGCTTGTATGGGGGAGAGAAGTGGAGAAGGCAGCATGAACGCTGTCGCCAATACAAAACGGATGCGGCTGCTGGTTGATGTCTGTTCCCCCCGCCCCCACCACCCGATAAGAACAACCAGCACGGCGAACGGCCTGCTTCGAACATGTTGCATGGGATGGTTTGAATGCGCTTCAGTGAGCAGCGGTAGCAGCAGCAGCGGCAGCAGTGACGGCGCCCTTCGAGCTGCTGATCATCATTACGAGAGATCAACTTAAGTGCCAACTACGAGTAGTAGCGCAAATTTAAGATTGCCCTACTGTTGTTGTTGTTGTTGTTGCTGTTGCTGTTCTTGTCGATGTGGTTGTTGGTTTTCGGATTGCCGTTCCCGGCATTTAAGCCTTTGATTTTTTCCGCTCAAATGGGCAGAAGCTGCAAATTAAAACATTTTTTTCCTTGTCTTGCGTTGGACCCTCGCTTACTTTATAGCTGATGCTGCTGCTGCTGCTGCTGTCCCCCTGTCCGTCCGCTTTGTTGCTCGTCTCTTTGTTTGTTTTTGCGCCTCGATTCTTTGTTTGCTTTGCTGATGACGAAGATGATCATCATTTCGCATTAAGTTTAATTTAAGCCGAAATTAGTTCGCTAATGAACTCATCAAGAACAGTGCTTGACTTTTGTTTATACTTCTGTATGTATGTCTGTAAGTATGTATGTATGTAAAAACATATGTATTTCCAAGTGTCTGTGTGAGTGCAATACACACATCACACTCGCAACATGCAACACAATGTGGCAGTTGGCGCAAGGGATTGACATTTGCCGACGCGTCAAAGATTCAAAACCAAATGTTAATGAGTTAATTAACGAAAGCAAAAACGCTGCTGTGGGTCCACAACAAAACAACAACAGCAGCCAGAGCGACAGCAACAAAAACAAAACAAGCAGCGACAGAGCAGACAGCAACATGTAGATAAACAAAATCGTCCCCAGTGGCAGGGAACTACAACATTTACCATATGGGATGGGCAGTGGGGCAACATGCATACTCGTATGTACATACATGTGACCAAGAAATCTTAAGCGAAAAACAAGAGATTTAAATAACTCGAGTGTAGGGGAAAAAAGTGGCCAAGCATCAAGCTTTGTGCAGCTGCTGCCACTCGCCTATGTTTCTGCCTCCGTCTGCGTCTTGCTCTTACCTTCGCCTTCCCAGCGTCGCAGCAGCGTCGAAGCGGCGGCGACCTAAGTGAGACGTCTCCCTTGGAGGACGCAGTCCCAGTCCCAGTCGTAGTACCAGCGACAAGTGTCGCACCGCACCGCCACCGGCGCCCCTTCCCCGTCTGCTGCGGACGGCGCTGTGTCTTCTCCTGCTCATATAAATTTCTAGCACGCGTGCAAGTAATTAAGCCAAAGATGAGACATCTTTTTGTGTCTTTGGCTTAGTTACAGCCGCGCTAACAGCGAAGGGACAGCGAGGAAACCACACAGAGGCCAAGACTCTCTCCAGTCTGTTATCTTATCGGGGATGTTGATCGCAGAGGCGGCCAAGAATTATTGTTATGATGGCGCACAAATAATGGACAGGGACAGGTAGGGGCATTTGAGTGGAGAAAAAACACGACAGGCACAATCTGATTGGGTTCTGGTAGGTCTCCGAATAGACCCTCTAATGCGATGTTTTAATTTTAATTAAACAATTAGACCAGATGGGGAAAAAGTTTGTCAAGCGAACAGCAAAGGTATAATTACGACTCAAGTAGATTGGACTCATACACATTATCTTATATGTGATACTTGAATAAATGTGTTAAAATTAGGATGATATTTTGCATGAGTACCAAAACGTACCTACATATTAAACTGATTTAAAATGCTTTCTTTTTCTGCGCTCAAATACCGTCGAGTTTCTTAAAAACCTTAAATAAAGGTGACAGCTAATAACTAACTTCGTTAGTAGGTCAGTTGACCGTGAAACCATCCAATAAAAACGAAATGAGTCAAGTATTTATTTGCCAACACATTCTTAGTATCTCAGGCCAACACTGTTTTCTCGGCCGAATCTTGAAAGGGCCATGGCTGGATCAAAAGAAATTCATTTCTACGGTCATAATTCTCGTTACTTGCAACAAATATTGAACATTCTATTAATTTATTTGCTTTGCAAAATAATTACAGCGTCAATGCCACTGTTTATACCTGGACCCGAAGGCTAAATGGGTATGCTAAAAAGTCAGTATTTATATGTGAGAGATAAAAGATACAATATAGATACACATGTTCACCTGTTTGTCCGCACGTACCTCGAGAATATATCAGCTAGGGGCAAGAAACTTGATTTGTAGACATGTCCAAACAATAAATTGGCTTACTATTTTTAAAAGCTGTCAATGAATCGATGGTTGCTTAGGGAGAGGGTACATCGTAGTCTGGTTCATGCGTTTTTAACAGTCTACGTAATTTTCTCATAACAAAACTAACTTTTAAAATCAAATTGAATTAAAAAAGTGCGAGCAATGATACAAGTATTAAATCAACCAAAAATAGTCAAGTCGTAGAGCTGCTGCTGCTGATATGTGTAGGTGGGTGGATTTAAAGTTACAGATTTTAAGAACCTTATAAGTATTTACATGTTTATGTATTGTTATTGTGTAATATATCAATGAAGCGGATCGGATCTGTTGTGTATGAATGCACTTTCTAACCCAAATTCCAAAAATGCTTAGCTGCGATAATTTCTTTATTCATGGCGAAGAGCGCTCGTGGACATTTTCCGAATAAACGCATCGAATATTTCACTTTCTGCCTCCTTAATGAGCAAGGCAGTGCTGCTGCCCCATTGGGCATGCAACACATGCAGTTGCAGAAAACAAATTTACTTGCATGCCACAGCGTTGCGAACGAGCAACGGGCTGGTAAGCATCTGCAGACGCTGAAAACCAATCGTTCGATTCTCGTATGTAGCTCAATCCTTCAGTCGAGCAATCAACTGCAGACTTTTCGATTTAATTACGTGCATAAATTGTTCCAATAAAAATGTTGCACAACCGGCCACGACTGCCCCTGCAACTGGTGCTGCCAAAGACTACAACGGGTATCAATCACAAAACGCATACGAAACTGAAATGCTGAAATGCTGAAAAACTGAAACTCAGTCAAACAAATGCTGCTGACAATGAATATAGTGCCCCCGGTTTCTGTTGTTGTTGCTATTGTTGTCGTTGTTGTGTGCTTGTTGTTGTTGCCACTGTAATTAATATTCTGTGGCTGTAGCGAACAGATATATAGATGCATTGTGATATCTGTGTCTCTGTGCCGTCCCAGTACCAGCCCCAGTCCGAGCCTCCGTCGGTCGCTGCCTTCGTGTTGACAACCAGCAACAATCGTGTTAACAAGCCCAACAGATGCCAATTGTTGTTGTTGTCGTTGTTGCTGCTGTTGGCGCAAAACTTTGAATAATGAATGTGCTCTACATCTATACAGCATACTACATGTATGTAGCCACTACAGTTAGTTATTTATTTGTTAGTCAGATACTCGTACTCACTCAGTCAGTCGTTTTGTAATTGAAATGTAAATTTCTGTGCCAGCCTATTGATAAATGTATGTGCTATATACATATAGTGTGCCTGATCGATCGGCCTCTATGAATGTGCGTTAACAATTGCCTGCTCGGCCTTTATGGGAATGCGCTGAAGCATGACCACAATGTTACGCATACGCAGCGTTGGCCACGCCTGCTTCTGAACAGATCAGCAGCTACCTCGGCCGAAAGTACGCCAAAGAAATTAAAGCAATTGAGAGGCAGACAATGCCAAACGACAAATAAAATACAAATTTACGCACGAGGGTTGCAATGATGTGGCATTTAATTCAATGACAGCAGAGGGTGGAAAGGGAAACACCGAACGGAAAAAGAAATACAATTTAATTTTGTGCAAAGAGTGAAAAGTTTCGCGACAGAGCGTAGCAAATGCTGAAGGGAAGGATTTCACATGCGCAGTTGATTAAATGAAAAGTGGAAAGCGAAAAGTGAAAAGTGAAAAGTGATACCAGCCAGCAATTGATGGCTTTCAATTTGCCAGACCCGTCCTCCGTCCTCCCCCTGCTACTGGCAGTAGTTTAATTAATTTTCAAAACAGTAAATGGCGCTTGAACTCAATCGAAAATCAATGCAAATTAATAATTGACGTCCGGCCCCCAAGCTACAAAAAGCTCGACAAGCTTCTAATATGCGTATGACGTTTATGTGACAGAGAACAGCCCTTTTATTTGGAATAGGGTGGTGTTGAACAAGCTTTGAATTCAATAACTGCACACACACACACACACACACACACATGCACACAGTTTACACACTCTGAGTAAACAGGGGGGGTGTGGGGTGAGTGTGGAGTGTGGAGAGATGGGCCGATGTTGGCTGCACGTGCAGAGCTTAAATGGGCTTTTAACGCAGCTTATCTTGTCGACACACTCGCTAGGGGATGGGCAAGGGAGAGGGGGAGGGGGCGTGGGTCGATGATTTGTTTGCTTAGGACGCGAGTGTCACGCCCTTGGGGGAGTGTGGTGAGGGTGGTGACGCGAATGGAGTCGACTGTCGACTGCCTTATGATTAGCGTGCAAGATAAACACGCTTGTACTATTTTACGCTCAATCTGCGCTCTGTCATCCATTCGCATCCCTTGGGCACAATGCACAGTTATTAGGCATGTATGACAGTTTGCCAGACTGCCATTTTGTTGTTACGTAAAACACTTTAATGGGCGTTGCCATAATTCATAGACGTGCCGTGGCTGTCATTGTCGCTTCTCATTCCGGTTGTCGTTGCTGTCCGTGTTGTTGTTGTTGTGTCTCTTGTTGCAAAACTTGTTGCTAGCGCGCGCTAAAATCGTCAACTTGAGGCTAATAACTCATTTAAAACGCGACTGACATCTTTGCCGTCGTCGTCAGCAGCAATATCAACAACAACAACAACCGATACAAAAACAACACTTGCAATTGGTGTTGTTTTTGTATCGGTTGTTGTTGTTGTACAAGTATAACTGCAGCTGCAGCTCAAGTGCAAGCCAACAAATGCCGCTTTTGGCCCCCAGAGCAAAATAACTTAATTTCATAAATGGCCACAGCCAAGCCATGTCACACAACAGTCGGCGTGCAACTTGCAACTTGCCACTCGCAGCTACCAAATTGCTGCATGAGCTCGCCTGCCTCTCCGCTGCCTGATTGGCATTGTGTGAATGCATAAATACTTATAACTATATCTACATACATATACACGGTCCGACTTCTCTATAATAAACTAAGTATTATTTACGAAACTAAAACAAACTTTCAAGCTATTACCAAACAAAAAATCAAGTCTTATGCTTATGTTGTTTGAGAAAGCTTTAAGTTGTCTGTTGCTCTTTTACGTGAAACTATTATTCATGAATACTATTTTGTTTTGAAAACTCAGCTCAAGTAAAGCCAAACCTATTTACAGGTGCACATGAAAGTTGTAAGATATCGGAATGCAAACAAAAAGTAAACAAATGATTCAGAAAAAATAAATTCAATTACATAAAATAGCAATAAAATATTCGTAAATAAAGATGGTATTTGTACTTCCCTAAAATTTTGCCACTATTAACTTGTCTGCGGTTTAACCGATTTGACTGAAATTTACAATATAGAGGTGACAATTACGTACACTTGGGAACTGTAAACAGAATTGAGCAATTTTGGTAATAGAGAAAGGGAGAGGAGCAAAATAAAATGAACTTCTAGAAATTAGGAGAGTCGACATACGAAGTTTTTCACAGCGTCAAGATTAAGAATATACACAATTTATGCCTGTTACATACATTTTCCCAAACATAAAACACCATTTTAATGATGATTGAATAAACGGGGCAGAACTTCACCAGTTGCTGATTGTCTTATATGTTTCCTTGCGTACCTTTCCGACCCAAATACAAATACTTGCATTTCAGTAGTAGTTCAATATGTTATACGTAAAATATTCGGGCCAAATTTGTATTATTTTTTTTCAGTTTCGAGTGCTATGTTTGTAATCACATACAGATGGTCTATGACCTCATTACGTTATAATTGTACAGCTTAAGCTTATGCTTAAAATAATAAAACTTTTTATAAAAAGAGGAGAAAAACAAACATTTATTATTACCTGTACTTGATTTTGCACTGAAACGTTACTTGTGGGACAGGCCCATTCGATGGTTTTATAATTGAATCGATAATTGATATTATGATTAAAATATGTTTTATTAAAAATT